GTATCAGCTGCAGTATCAGCTAAGCTGTTTAGTTCAGCTGCTGCCTTAAAGATGTAGTTTCTATGTCTTTAATGACACCAATTAAAGTGTGTGTCCCTCAGTAACCTTTGGTCAGGCCTGAACTGGTCAGGCAGTTGGACTGGATGATCATTGTAGGTCCCTTCCAATGGAAATTTCTCTTCTCTTCTCTTCTCTTCTCTTCTCTTCTCTTCTCTTCTCTTCTCTTCTCTTCTCTTCTCTTCTCTTCTCTTCTCTTCTCTTCTCTTCTCTTCTCTTCTCTTCTCTTCTCTTCTCTTCTCTTCTCTTCTCTTCTCTTCTCTTCTCTTCTCTTCTCTTCTCTTCTCTTCTCTTCTCTTCTCTTCTCTTCTCTTCTCTTCTCTTCTCTTCTCTTCTCTTCTCTTCTCTTCTCTTCTCTTCTCTTCTCTTCTCTTCTCTTCTCTTCTCTTCTCTTCTCTTCTCTTCTCTTCTCTTCTCTTCTCTTCTCTTCTCTTCTCTTCTCTTCTCTTCTCTTCTCTTCTCTTCTCTTCTCTTCTCTTCTCTTCTCTTCTCTTCTCTTCTCTTCTCTTCTCTTCTCTTCTCTTCTCTTCTCTTCTCTTCTCTTCTCTTCTCTTCTCTTCTCTTCTCTTCTCTTCTCTTCTCTTCTCTTCTCTTCTCTTCTCTTCTCTTCTCTTCTCTTCTCTTCTCTTCTCTTCTCTTCTCTTCTCTTCTCTTCTCTTCTCTTCTCTTCTCTTCTCTTCTCTTCTCTTCTCTTCTCTTCTCTTCTCTTCTCTTCTCTTCTCTTCTCTTCTCTTCTCTTCTCTTCTCTTCTCTTCTCTTCTCTTCTCTTCTCTTCTCTTCTCTTCTCTTCTCTTCTCTTCTCTTCTCTTCTCTTCTCTTCTCTTCTCTTCTCTTCTCTTCTCTTCTCTTCTCTTCTCTTCTCTTCTCTTCTCTTCTCTTCTCTTCTCTTCTCTTCTCTTCTCTTCTCTTCTCTTCTCTTCTCTTCTCTTCTCTTCTCTTCTCTTCTCTTCTCTTCTCTTCTCTTCTCTTCTCTTCTCTTCTCTTCTCTTCTCTTCTCTTCTCTTCTCTTCTCTTCTCTTCTCTTCTCTTCTCTTCTCTTCTCTTCTCTTCTCTTCTCTTCTCTTCTCTTCTCTTCTCTTCTCTTCTCTTCTCTTCTCTTCTCTTCTCTTCTCTTCTCTTCTCTTCTCTTCTCTTCTCTTCTCTTCTCTTCTCTTCTCTTCTCTTCTCTTCTCTTCTCTTCTCTTCTCTTCTCTTCTCTTCTCTTCTCTTCTCTTCTCTTCTCTTCTCTTCTCTTCTCTTCTCTTCTCTTCTCTTCTCTTCTCTTCTCTTCTCTTCTCTTCTCTTCTCTTCTCTTCTCTTCTCTTCTCTTCTCTTCTCTTCTCTTCTCTTCTCTTCTCTTCTCTTCTCTTCTCTTCTCTTCTCTTCTCTTCTCTTCTCTTCTCTTCTCTTCTCTTCTCTTCTCTTCTCTTCTCTTCTCTTCTCTTCTCTTCTCTTCTCTTCTCTTCTCTTCTCTTCTCTTCTCTTCTCTTCTCTTCTCTTCTCTTCTCTTCTCTTCTCTTCTCTTCTCTTCTCTTCTCTTCTCTTCTCTTCTCTTCTCTTCTCTTCTCTTCTCTTCTCTTCTCTTCTCTTCTCTTCTCTTCTCTTCTCTTCTCTTCTCTTCTCTTCTCTTCTCTTCTCTTCTCTTCTCTTCTCTTCTCTTCTCTTCTCTTCTCTTCTCTTCTCTTCTCTTCTCTTCTCTTCTCTTCTCTTCTCTTCTCTTCTCTTCTCTTCTCTTCTCTTGTTCCCGGGGGCGACCTGCAGCGGGGCTAAGGCACGTCTTGCCTGGCAAAGAAAGGGTTAAGCGTGTCCCCGGGGGGGTCCCGAGGGGGAGCAGGGGGGATAAAGCAGGTATTGCCTTGCAAAGAAAGGGTGGGACACCCGTGGGAGTGGGAGGTGGGACGGGGGCAGCTGCGCCGGGGGCTCCGCGGTTCCTAAGAGCAGCCGGCGAGCCCAGAAAGCGCTGGCTGGCTTTGGGGAATGCCGGGGAAAACGGGGGGACGGTGAATGTTATGGCAATCTAAGGGTGTTTGCACCTCGCAGGGTGCTGGGGTAGCCCTGCCCGTGCCCCAAAACCCACGCAGGGGGGTGGGAGTGGGTGTCGGGGCATGGGAGGCTGGAGACACCCCAGCAAGTGACAGCAGGACAGCACCGAGGGGGAGCGGGGGCTTTCCCAGCCAGAAGCAGCGCCGAGGGGAAGAAAAAAAACTTCTATTTCTTCCCCAAATCAAAGTTTTTCCACTTTACATGAATATAGGAAAAACTTGGGGGTTTATGGAGGTCTGCCCCGGGGTGTCCCCGCAGGCGGTCGCCCGTCGGGTCGGTGGGAGCTCACAGAGCTGCCGGGGCGAGAGCAAGGGAGTTCGAGTTCGGCAGCCCCAATGGTGTTGGAAAGGCACCTCTGAGGGCTGCGGGTGGGAGAAATCCCCTTCCCACACCCGTGACAGCCGGGCTGATCCCAAATAACCCCCTGGAGCGTTTCCAGAGGGAGACACGTCCGAGAGCTGCACCCCTGCGGTGGCAGAGAGAGGACGGGGTGGCCACCAGGCTCCAAGCTCGGCGGCACCATTTGGTGGCAGAGGAATGGTGGGTTTTAAAGGCTTTGGTTACAAATATCAAATCGCCCGTCCTGGGCCTGGCAGAGACACGAGACTCCTGCCACGCCGTCCCGCCGGGGCCGAAGCGGTAAGAAATCCACGCAAGGGAGGAAAATTGCTTCTCCCCGAGGTTTTGCAGGGAGAAGGGGGGGAGCAGGCGGGACCCCTCGCCGGAGCAGCACAAACCATCGGCAGCCGCGTACCTGTGGCTCGACCAAACCCAGCCCGGCTGGATCCGACCCCGGGGCGCCTGCGGGAGCTGTGTGCGCGCCCTCGGCCTCGCTCTGCAAATCAACGGCAAACCCAAGGGCTTAAAAACCCCCCAGAAGGCAAATAAAAGCTTTGTGAGATACGGGTTGTTCCAACAGCCTGCGCTTCTGAATGCTGGTTGAAAGACTGGCTTAAAAATCCTGTGGGCTCAGGGGTATGAATGTTTTGCAGGGAAAGGGGTTATTTGTCGGCTGTAAAAACTTGGGGGTTTTGTTATTCCTGAGGCAGGGCAGCCAGATTTGCTGTGACCTTGGTGCATGCAAATGTTTCTTTCAAAGAGCATTTTCCTTCTGTTTGCAATTTGGAATTTTCCTTTTCTTTCCCCATTTCTGCCTCTCCCCCCCCTTTTTTTTTTCCCCCTCTCTTCTTTTATGAATGCTCCCTTTGACGGGAGGAATCCAGCTCAGGGCCGTGGCTATTCCTGCATGCAGGCAGGTACGCGTTTGGCCCTGCTGCGGCAGAGCGGCTCAGTGTGGGCTCGTAAAACTTGTAAAGTGGCTTTTATCTGCTGGCCCGGAGTGGCCGGTGGCACGTGTGTCCCTCCTGTGCCCCCCCTGCCGTGCCCTCCATGGTTTGCACGGGGGAAGACAGGGGACCTCCACCCGTGGGTGCCATCCTCCCCTCGCCTCTCCAGGCCTGCCGCGAGCGTCCGTCCCGCGTCTCGTGGGGTGGCTGCATGTCCCCCGACGTGCTGTGCTGGTTTTGTAGTCCCCCGTGCAGCTCGTGTTTGCTGCTGCGGCCTCCTCCGGGGATTTTTTTTATATTAAATCTTTTCTGGGGTGATGCCTTGGGGATGGGGAAGCGAGTAACGCTGGCTGCGGCGGGCGTGCGGGACAAAACTGCTCCCATGACGCACATACTGCGTTGCTCATCCCACAGAGCAGCTCCGCTCCTTCACACGCCTTTGCAGGGGCAGAGCGTTGTCGCCGGGCCCCTTCCCCTTGCGCAGAGCCCGCGTGGGTGTGGGTGGCACCCGGGGTCCCGCACAGGCAGCCGGCACCCCAGCCGGGGCAGGGAGGTGGCCGTGTCCCCCCTCCGCACCGCCGTCCCCCCCCCGTGAACTAACCGGGGCGACGGCGGAGGGCTGGCTGCAGAGTGGGTTTGCTGAAGGCAGAAAGAACAGCTCACGGCGCTGTCCTTTTGGTTTTTTTCCCTTTATAAAACGTTTTTTGAGGCTGGAATAAATCTTCCTGACTTCTGAGCACAGCAGACCTGGCACGGGCCTTTTGTTGGGGAGATCAAATGCAGAGGTCCACGTTGACCCGTGGTTCTTGGAGGAGGAGGGTGCTCGTGTGGTTTGCGATGCTTCCCTGCGAGCAAAGAGCAAAAACCCGGTGAAGACCCGTCGGGAGGCTGGAGGGAGCCGAGAACTCTCGGGGCAGGGCAGCACCAGGTCCCCGCGGTCCGGGGTCCCCTCTCTGCTTGACACCAGCCGCGTTGTAAGGCTAACGACGGCGTGGCACGAACATCAACCCCCGCCGTGGCCGATTTCATCCGGAGGGTGTTTGGGCTGGATTCACCCCCAGGGCCATGCAGGCTGCTCATGGTGGTGACTTTATTTCTCCCGCTGGGACCAGCCGAGGGTTTGTCCTGCGGTACCGGAGCTGCCGGCTCTGCCTGGCGGGTATGCGACAGGGACTTACCCACTTCCAGCCCGTTGCCTCTGTAAACTGTAACTCTGCTCAAAAACCTCTATTTTTCAGATGGCGTATGTTAAAAATGACCTAAGCATCCTTTGTCTTTTTTTTTTTTTTTTAGGAAAAATGTCAGACGCTTTCACTGTAAGTATGGCTTTCTTTAAAAAAAAAGCTGGGGTGGTGACTGTTTAATTGCCTTGAAGCAGGAGCCTTGGGCAGGGGTGGGAGCACGGCTTCGCTAACCCATGTAATGCCCCAAATCCGCTCCAGTTGCATCGGCATTTACTGGTTTTCTGGAAACCTCAGCCCAGAGGTACTCAGCCCCCCGCCACTGCTTGGGAGCAGCCGAGTGCTCGCCCTCGGCGCACGCTGTAGGCTACAAAAGCTGGGGGTTGGAGGACACAACCGGACCCCGGGATTAGTGTCACCCACGTAACCCTCCTCCTCTCCCCTCTCTCCCCAGTCCAGCCGGGGGGAACCAGCCGCCGGCTCCTGGGGGGTTCCCGGTGTACCCCGGCCCTCCGGGGACCTATCCTGGCTCACCAGCACCACCGGGGACCTATCCTGGAGCAGCGGGATTGTATCCTGGAGGACCGTACCCAGGAGCACCCGGAGCATTCCCTGGAGCACCAGCAGGAGCAGGGCCGTATCCTGCCCCGGGACAACCGCCCAGTGGCCCTGGATTTGGGCCCCCTCCTCCGCAGGGGGGACCGGCTCCTCCAATGGTAACGGCTCCATCATATTATGCGGGTTTCTGTGTCTTCACTGCCTGATTTTGCTTGGCCAGGGGAGGGACCTGGGGCTGGCTGTCCCCGGGGGGGGTGACATGGGTTGTCACTGCGTCACAGGGCCGCCCCGGTACGTTGTCACACCGAGAGCCAGCCCGCGCCCGAGCATTTGGCTTTGGACGTGGTTTTCTGCTAACACCAAACCCCTGTTTTCTTCCAGAAAGTCCCCTTCGAGCTGCCACTGCAGGCAGGACTCGTCCCTCGGCTGCTCATCACCATCACAGGGACCGTCAACCCCAACCCGAACAGGTACCGGGGGTCCAGCACCCAGGGCGGGGGGTTTCTGTGGGGCACTTGCTTTCCATTCCTGAATAACACCTACCTGGGGTAAAATCAAATATGACACAAAATAAATGTGCAAATGCAAAAAATGAGGTCTGTGGGGGGGTTTTCTGCCAGGTTGCTGCTACTTCTGGCAAAAAAGCAGCGGACCCATTATTGCCTTTGCAGGTTTTCACTGGATTTCAAGAAAGGGAATGACATTGCCTTCCACTTCAATCCCCGCTTTAAGGAAGACAACAGGAAAGTCATCGTCTGTAATTCAATGTTCCAGAATAACTGGGGAAAGGAGGAGAGGACAGCTCCTAGGTTTCCCTTTGAAGCTGGAAAACCCTTCAAGGTACGAAAAAACCCACTCCAAGTCAGTCTTAACGCCCGCAGGGCGCGCCGGGAGGGTTTGGTCAGGGCTGTGTAACAAGACTCGCTTGGACCTTGGTGCCTTTGCACAGGAATCGGCTCCCAGAGGTGCTTTTGGGGCAGTCACCCAGCACAGCAGATCCACGGCGCCTTCCCTGCACTTCTTATCCTTGCAGGTCCAGGTGCCCGGTGTCTAAATTTTGTTATTCCCATTTATTATTAAATCCACCTTATTTATACTGTTGTTCTGCCGTGGTTGGGCAGGTTTCTCTAAAGCATTTCCCCCGTTAGCAGCCAAGCTCTCTTCACGAGCTTTTTCTCCTGCAAAATAGGTTCCCCGTTTGGTGAGGACTCAGCTCTGGCTGTGTGAACCGTACAGTGCTGCTTCTTGAAAATACTGCCGTAGTCGCAAGGAGACAGAAACTGTGGGCTAAAACATGAAGGAGGAGGGGTACAGCAGGGCTTTGCAGAAGGCGAAGGTCACCGGTGTTTTTGCAGCCGAGAGTTGCTGCACCAGCTCGCCCGCATACCACCGGTCTGGACTCAGCTGGTAGCAGCCTGTAGCCGGTGCCAGCCTGCTCAAATCCGTGGCTTAAAAATCTCTTTTTGGGGTTTTTATTTCAGCTCCAGGTCCTTTGCGAGGTGGATCACTTCAAGGTAGCGGTCGACGATGCTCACTTGCTGCAGTACAACTTCCGCGAGAAGAGGCTGAACGAGATCACCAGACTCTGCATTGCTGGGGACATCACCCTCACCAGCGTCATGCCGACCATGATATAACTTACAGTGCTGTAATTTTAATGCAAACTTAGCGCTTTTAACACGGCTGTAACAGAAGTGCCTTCTTACCTGAATATTTTGAGGTAATAAAGCATACTTTGACAAGTTAAATTCGTGTTCGGTAAGATCTCAAAAGACACAACATCCTCCAGCAAGCCAAGCTCAAAAGTGGAAGTATCCGAATTCTTGCTGTGGAGACAGAGCAGCTCTTTGCCAAAGGATGACGACTCTGAGCCGTTTGATTTGTATGGAGAGGAGGACTTGGGAAAGCAGCCTGTGGCATCCCGCCGCTGCTCCTGCGGCCTAGGGCAGCAATCTTCAACCCCAGCTTCTCCGAGTACCCGGCAGCAGTCAGTAACTTGGTATTTTTAGCCTCAGTTGCTCTGCTAGGTAGAGCAGTTATTCCTTTTTCACTAAAGGAATCAAAAAAGCACAGCAAAGTTCCCCCCGCCGGGGAGGAGGAGTCGCCTGATCGGGCTTGTGAAGGGGTTGTGCGTAACGCACAGAAGCGTCGCCTCCCTGAAGTTGTCCGCTAGGAAACAGTGGGAAACAGGGAATACTCGAGAGCCTCCGAGCCTGACCAGAACGAGGTATTTCAAGCAGGGGTTCAGAGCTGGAGGAAGTAAAACCTCTGCCCTAGGCCGTGGCTAAAAAAGTTACCCCTCTCCGTCGTTCCAAAGGCCCATTCTGCCTATTTGGTGGCCCAAATCAGCCTGTCCTGAACGCGCCTCCCTCCCAAGGGAGATGCCGTTTGTACAAGCGTTACGTACGCCACGGAACAGGTCACGAGCCTTGTGCTCCTCTCCCCTTGTCACGTCTGTGTGAGTCAAGACCGGTTTCAAGGGTGGGGAGGCTTATTGGCAAGTTCACTTCATGAGTCAGGCTGGTTAAAAAAAAAAAAAAAAAAAAAGTGAGTCATTCCCCTGGTCTTGTCTGCAAAACAAGAACTGCGCAATAGCCGGTACGGAAGTTTCCAAGGATCTCTTTGACATGTCTCCTACTCTTTTAGAACAGTCACTTCATTGATACGCCAAGTTACAACGAGCACAGTGTTGAAATTTCCAGCAGATGCAGTAGCCCAGCCCAGCCCGCTGCTAACATCGGCTTCGGCGTATACGGCAGATGTCAGAAATCCCTCGTTACCACTACTCATTGCCCAGGGTTGATGACTGAACAGAGCAGGCGAGTCATTAAGAGCTGTCTGTTTGAAACTATCCGTGTAACTGGAGTTTAGTAATGAAGAAAGTCGATTCCAACACAGTAACACCAACTCACTTTAGCTTCCTCTATTTCAGTGTAATCAGTACGCAGCTTCCAGGTTAAATTTTAAGGTGGACGAGCTCCCCCAGCTGTAGTGGCACTGCTTTCTGCTGAGGGACTGGAATTACCTTTGCTTGGTTTAAAATAAAGGCTAGTGGAAGAACGTATTACACTAAGGTCACCATTACAAGAAGAAGCCCAGTCAGGTATTTGTTAAAAATATAACAACTGGAGGTACTCTCATACTACTGCCCAAATACAGAGTATCTATAACTGGCATGCTCCTTATGCATAAATATATTACAGTCCAGATAAGAGAATGCATAAGGAACACGGTGCGAGAAGAGGCTGAGGTTAACATGTCAAGTGTTCAGAGAAAGAGGTTTGGAGATTCTCCACACGAAAAAGCAAAGAGAGAATAGGGTTTGGCTTGAAGGTACTTAAGATACTCAATAGCTAACTGTGTCCTTAAAGGAAATAATCATCACTGCCTATTTGAATGTCTTTTCCTGGCAGTGTATTATCTGACTTTGAAATCCTCGTTCTGAAATAGTTTCTACTATTACAAAGCAAGTGGTCGTTAAACACCAGGAAGAGTCCCACGGGAAAGAATTACAGGCACCAAGCCCTGCCGCATCTGTTAAGGCGCGGAAGGCTGGAGCCGCAGGGTGCAGCAGCACCCTCGCAACAGCGACCGAGTAGGAAACTGCGCTTCGGGGAGGCGAGAGGCTGGGCCTTACCCCGCCGAAGGTGCCCTCGCGTCAGAAACGGGGCACAGGTACAGCTGGTCTGATAGGCATCTTAGAGTAATAATCCATGAGGTAAGGTCAGGACAGAAAAGCTTAAAGATGGATAGATTTACAACTTGAAGTAGACAGGAAATACATACAATTACACACAAAAATATTTCAGGTTGTAGTCAGAATATGCCCTCGTTGGATACAGCAGGTATAACCAGCAAGCACCCCGCGACTAATACACAGCGGTACTCACAGTGCTTAATGACCGCACCATAAAACGTTACAAAATATTTTAATGAGTTCCGCTACAAAATACTACAGGTATTCATTCACTCAGAACACAGTTCAAGGGTAGCAGACTGTATTCCAGATATCCTCTGTGGTTTTTTGGTTAATATAATGTACACATTTTGAATTTCAAGCCACTCTTCATTTTTCCCCAGAGGGAGAAAGGGGAGAAAATACAATAAGGTCAGTGAACGCTTCAGCTGCTGCGAACTGCTGGGCTTTGCTCTTGACCGGGGTGAAGGGAAGCTCAGCATCCAGCATAGGCTGTGGGAGAAATCAGAGAGCCAAGTAAGTGTCCGAGGAATTACCTGCTCTGCAAACCACCACTGCAACGACACACAAAATAAGCTACCAGCAAATTCCCTTTTCTCTAATGACAACTACACAAACAGCAGACCAACCGTAATTACTGTCAGGCAACTGCTTATGTACCTTCGGTGCCTGCCTCCTTGAGAGGCCACAAACACCACGGGACAACAACCAGCAGAAAAGGCTTTTGACAAGGGCCCAGGAGAAGCCTGCAGTTCTCTTGTCGCTCAGTACTGCGGACACAGCGCAGCTTTAGAATAAGCAAAGCACGGATCCATCAGGCAGATCTGAAACCTGCAGCAATCCGTACAGGTACCAAGTATACTAAAATATACTTGCTTATATATGATACAGTTTTCAAAGCAACAGCCACGGTTCAAAATCACGTAGCGCTGTCAGTACCATGACCTTCCCAAGAGAAATTTTGCAAGCTTATTTCCAGACATAAAATATGAAGTGAATATGTCGTCCATTTCAGGCAGTAATCCATATTTTAAAGAGGACTTTTCACATGAGAGCAAGGAAACCGTACACCCAAATTCTTTTAACAATTTGAAAGTATTTGCACACCTGCTTTTCCCTGTTGAATCTTACTTCCAGCTCTAAAAGATAAAGCTATAAGAAAAAAGGAAATGGGACAGACCTGGAAAACTCCAAGAAATAAGTGGAAGGGAAAGGCCAGGCCATTCATTACATTAGTAAATATTTACAAGGAAACCCACAAGAAATATAATTTAAAGGATCAATCTGATAAGAATCAGATATTCCTCTGTTACAAATGTCTTGATTCATCCTACGCTCATCGGGTGCGATAAGGAGTAACAGCGTGCGCCCCAGCAGGGACACAGCGATCACGGCTTGCATTAAGTTATACGAATTGGCTTGATAACATCTTCCGGAGTTTAATTTACTTTGTGCAGTAACTGATTCTGTAGGGAAGGTTAACAGCACGGTAACAGGCAGGTTCTCTCAGTCAGATAAACCTGAAGGCCAGCTTACCATATCAGAAGGATTTCTGCCAATGGTCAAATCACTACATGAAACATCTGAAAAATAAGAATATTTCATTTTTTTTAAAAAAGTTAGTCTGATGCTGCCAAAGCTGAAAATGTTTTCTGCATTTACTGGAAAAAAAACAACAAACCCTAAACTGTCTGTATTTACTTCTACTTCAAGCCTTTTATATTAGCTTTCACCTTCACATATCCCATGGAAACTATAAACCTGAGGGGCACTGTTTGCTCACGTGCAACACACGTGGAAGTCGTACTAGCTAAAGGAGGTTTTGCTAACAGTGTACACCGATTAACCAAGCTACAGCGACAGTGATTTCAAAGAGTAATATTTAGACTACCATAAAACTTCAGAATAATCAGAAGGCCCCAGCAGTACCACACACAAACCAGACTAAGCAGCTTTCAGGTATGTACCGGTTTGATGTATTTTTGGTTCTCCAGACTGAGCAAAGTCAGTCTCTCTGCAGGTTTCCTTCTCTGGACTGCACATGACGATATCTTGTCCTTGTTGTTCTGCAGCAGATAGTTCCATCTCTTCCATGCCATCCATTACTTTTAAATCACTGCTAGAATTTTCCAGCACCTGAAAAAAGAGGAATTTTAACTGTTCCTTGCCCTCTGAGAGGCTAAGATGTCTGCAGTAGCTATATTTGCTTCCCAGAGAGCCAAAAGGAAAGCACCAGTGAAATCAGACGGACATGAGGCAGCACCTATGACCCTAGGAAGCTTTCTTATTTTCCGTTTTGTCTGCAATAAAAGGAAGTTTGTCGGCTTTTGATGCAGAAAGCACAAAGGTGAAAAGGCAGCCAGGACATTCAAGGGATGGGAGTTCACAGAAACCAGCACGTTCCTGTTACGTCAAACCGAGCCCATACATCTCACCTGCAGTTTTTATAGACAATTCAGGAGAGACAGGGGTTTAACTCCAGATGCTGTACAAAGGACAGGCAGGACAAGGCTCGCAGCTTAACCCTGTGACTCACTGCACATTAAGTATTTCACAAACACCCTTGTAAGCTTGATAATCTCTTAGAGAGGATAAACGAAGTTTTTCCACATGAAAGATGATTTTGAACTTAAAGTGCCAAAAACGTTCTGAGGATGTTCTCGAATGAGACTTTACCTCAAGAAGAACCCATCAGCAATACTGAAAGTTAAAGATTACCACAGCTTTTCCCAGAGGGCAACATCAACAAGCAATTTCTCATTTGACAGGGAAAGGATGAAATAAAAGGCATAAGAACAAATTAGTAACCAAGATTACTATTATTTTTTTTAATATATATTGTATATATGGGGAGATGGGGGGAGGAAACAACTGCTGGAGTCATGCACAGATCCAAGCAGTAATAAATAAAATTAAGATACTCCATTTCCAATGAAAGGT